GAGGGTCCCTGTATACGGAATCACGGACTCAGGAAGAGGCTTTTGGTTGCGTTTGGATGCCGATGCACGTAAGAGCGGCCTGAAGGCAAGCCAGTTTTTCCCAGGATTGTACTACCTCCCAGGTGAGCAGGGAGGAGATGCTTGTGCCCTCATGTGCACTCACGTGGACGACTTGCTTTATAGTTTTCTTCCGGAAGGCGAGGAAGTAATGAAGTCTTTTCTTGCCAAGTTCAGTGTCGGCAGTTCAGACACTAACAGCTTTCGATATTGTGGGAAGCAATTCGTGCGAGGAGATGACAAGGTCATCAAAGTCGACACAGCAGATAACACTAGGAAGATTCATGGAGCAGATGTTGGGTCTAGGCTAGGCAGAGAACGTCTTCAGCAAGGAGACATCACGAAGCTCAGATCGATCACCGGATCGCTCGCCTGGATCTCGAGACAGACCAGGCCTGACCTTGGTTACAGGGTAAGCCGTTTGCAGTCTAGCATTAAAGATGCAACTGTGTCCACGTTGGCAGACGCTAACGCAGTCGTTGTCCTGGCACACAAAGGTCACGATGTGGCATTGTGTTTTCCCGCGGCTCATCTCCAATGGAGTGAAGTTGGTGTGATCACGGTCACAGATGCCTCCTTCTCCAACGAGAAGAACTACAAGTCGCAACAGGGCAGGATCCATTTTCTGGGTGATCTCAAGGAGATCAAGGATGACAAGACGACCACCTATAAGGTGATGCCACTGTCTTTTGGATCCACGACAATTAAGAGAGTCTGCCGCAGCACTCTCCAGGCCGAAACGTATTCCCTCCAGAACGGACTCGAGACAGGTGACAAGCTGAGAGGTGTGATTGCAGAGATCAAGGGCAAGATTCGCAGTTTGAAGACATGGGAAGATGATGCCCGTGAATGCATTCCGCATTTGGCGATGACTGATTGCCGTTCGCTTTCTGACCACCTCAATCAGGAAGTCCTGGCCAAGGTGAGTGACAAGCGCCTTGGTATCGAGTTGCAAGGAATCCATGAGAATTTGTGGCAAGAAGGAAGACCAACATGGATTGCTTTCGAGAATGGAGGAGACAAGTTGATCTGGATTGCCACCAGTACGATGGTGTCGGACTGTCTAACGAAGTCCATGAGGCCAGATCTGCTACTTCGAGTGCTGAAGGAGGGCCGCTACACTGTACAGAAGCAGAAGTAGATTTCTCCAATGCCTTAGGAAGACACAAGAGTTTCAATGTATAGCCGTGTGACACCTGTAGAACAGGT